ATTGACCAGAGCGAAAGAGTCATTGGTGCTAATTAAATAGCCATCTGTTCATTTATGCAGATATCATAAAAGCTTGACCTACTGTGGCTTCTGAAATTGCCACTGACTTGCTTATGACAAATAACTGCCATATTTGCAATTATTCTGTTTTTGCTATTATTAACTACAAAATGATGAGGACTAAAAGCTACAAAGACATTTCAAATATATTAACTTTTTTTTTCTAACTAAGCCTTCAAGTAAATGGTTCCATTAAGAGATAAACAGGATTTCGTAAAAAACATTTTGACAGCAAAATAAATATAATTTAAGTTTATTGTGCTATATAGAATGTATTTTTGTGCAAAATTTAAGTATGTGCAAAATTGTGTTTTGAAAAAAATCATTACTTGCAACGTAGAGATGTCCTCCTAGCTTTTTTTTTTATTATTCTTTATTTTGGTCCTTCATAAAACATCATACAGGCTTGCAATACCACAACGGTTTATGCAAACAAAGCTATAAACAGAGAAAAAAAAATTACACTTGTGGTTTAAATACTAGGCACAATTTTTGTATTAGAGAGAGTGCTAAGCTATACGTTCTAGTCCAGAATGCGGTGTCTAACTTTGTTACCGTAGTGTGAGTAGCTAGGGAGCTGGTATGTAGCAGTTGAGAGTCTATTTTCAAAGATTATCAGGCAATTTACATGTTAAGTGTTGTCAAAACATAAAGTAAGATGCACGTTTGTTAGATATATCCTAGCCATGGTATGTAAGGTAGTGGCACCAATTTTAAAGCTAAAATCAGCTGAACCATAAACAGAATGGACAGTATAGCAGTGTGTAGTCCTGTAGCTAACTTACGGTATTATAGGGCATCTTTATATTCTTTAGACTCTGGCAAAAGGTATATCAATACATTTTATGTTTATAAGTAGGAGATTAGCTTTGAGAGGTAGTAATATAAGCAGATACCCTTGTCTTTGGCTTGCTAAATGGTGTGTGAGTCGCTGCAAGTGTTAGAGAAGCAATTAGAGATAAGTAGTCGCGTGCATATGTGTACACCGGGGAGATAAGGAGTCATCCTAGGATGGCAGACTGTTTGTAGTCTCGTGGTTAATAAGTGTGTGTGAGAGGTGCGGGCAGTGGGGGTACCTGGTGTGCATGTGGTTTAATTAGGGCGCTAGTGGTCAGGTCTTTCTAGCCAAGTGTTAGTTAGTATATCCTGTATATCTTTCAGCATTAAAAGTCGACATTGATAGAATAAGATTAGTCAAATTAAATTAAAATGAGCAGAGTAGAGTAATAATGAAGAGTAGGTAGTAACGGTAGCCAATCAACCATAGAGGCAGTAGTGATTAGGCATATCTTCAACCTTCGGAAGCGTTAAACATTAAATACAGTTTGGTCAGTTAACATTAGGCTTTGTACAGACTGTCCTGGCCGCGCCTGGGTGGAAAATGGTGAGCAGCCTGTCCTTTGTAATGGGAGACTGTAGACTCTTCTCCGCGTTTTGCCATTATGTTGTGACCATTGCATAAGTGGTCTCTTGGGGCCTGCGGGGTACAAAGACAGTGACGCTCGCTGGGTCCCAGTTGTGCGGTTCGGTGCGGTGGCCGGCTGGTGCATGGCCTTGGAGAGGGAGTCGGGCGGGAGAACCAAGTCCTCTAGGATCCCAGCCGCTTCTTCCAACTTGTGCACTTGGTAGGAGTTCCCTCCGTGGGTGATCATCAGGGTCTGGGCCGGTGAGAGGCTGCAGGGTTCTTCGCCATTTCAGTATGTCCCCAGATAGATCCGCGAAGAAAGTAAGGGTTTTCGAATGTGTAAGGTTCCCGTAGGGCATTCATCACCGCTGCTTTGTCCTGACTGGTCTGAAAGCTTACGATCAGGTCCCTGGGAGCCTCGGTTGGGGCTTTAATGGGTTTAGGTATTCTGAACAGGTTTTCCATTGTTATCAGTTTTGCCTGTTTCGGGGGAATGATTGAGCCCAGAAGGCGCCTCATAAAATGTGGTAATTCCGCGTCCTGCACCGTCTCCGCCACCCCTCTTATCTTTAGATTCTTAAACCGCCTTGTGTCTTCCATGGATGTAACTTTTCTTTCCAGGACGGCATGGTGTTTCCGTAGGGACCGTATCTCTGAAGGTGCGTTACTTGCTGTTTGTTGTTGTGGGAATCCGTTTCCAGAGCTCCCATGCGGCCTGTCAGGCCTTGGAGGTTGGCACGGAGTGCGGCAACATCTGCGTGTATGTCCCATCGGAGGCCCGACAGCAGCTCTTACATGTCGGGCTTGATTACCGGAGATGTGTCCTTTTGGTTGGAGGGTGGTGCCGGGTTCACCTTTTGTCTTTGAGGTTCCAGCATGAGAAGGTCTCCCGACCCCAGGGTGTGGCTGTCCGTGAAGTCGGAGTGAGGCTTGTGAGGTGCCGTGTGCCTGCCGCCATAAGTCTCCAATGTTCATGCCCAGGTTTGGTTTATCAGCTTTCTGCCTTTTTGTTTTTTTTCACCCCATCCTGATGTGGGTGGCTGGGGGTCCCTCTGGGTTGTTTTTTGTTAAGATTTGCCGTGTTTTGTGCTTAATTCAGGCCGTTTTTTTCGGGAACCGTCCTCCTAGCTTTTTAATCTTTTTCACAGAAAATATTCAAATATTCACAAGAATTGTTAAATAGCATTAAAGTAGAATTTGGAAGCATTGTTAATCTTTTATATTAACATATTTAATACCCATAAGAATATTTATAGGAAGCATATATTTTTATTTGTTAGATTAGTTTGATGACAGTAGAAGAAAGGGATAAAGGAACATATTGGTCTGCTGCACATACAGTAGGCTGAATGACAGCCTATTAGACTGGTCCCACTCATGGCAGCCTGTACAAAGAGCACTGAAGCACCTTGATCATGGATCTGACTGCCCAAGTTCACACAGCACAGTAAGAGAACATATAATGGTGCACTTTCCCTGTGCAGTTTAGGGATGATTATCTAGATGCAGAACCTCATGTTCCAGATGGTCTTGCCGAACCCCGATCATTTTGAAGATATGTACATGACAGTTTAAATGCATGAGAGGGGACAGTCGGAAAGTATTTATTTATATGCAACTTTAATCATTTGACGATATGGACGTAACATGGATGAGGGTTTATTTACTTAAATTCAAAAGTAATTCTTCACAAGTTTTAAATACTGGGACCCTGTTGGGAGATGAAAATATTTGACAAATTCATTATTTCCTGAGAATCTCTGAGCTGAATTAGCTAACAACAGTCTTAAGCTGTAGCTCAGCATACAAGGTTAAAATTCAGCGTATTTTAAAAACAGGGACACTGTTGGATTTTGTATTGGACTTGTAGGTGTGGAAGTACTGTGAAATTTTAATCAGCATGCAGTGATATTGCTGCTATTTGTTAATTACAAAAAACCCTTTCATCCTTATTGCCCTGACATTTAAGAGGCCTTTGCATTTTTTTTGCAAAGACTCTACCGAGGTGGCATATCTGTTTCCCTTGTGGCTTCTGTATTGAGAGCAAGAAGAAATACTTACATGAACTGCTCCACCTGCAGAACATCCATCTTCTTGAAGCAGGCCATTTTCAGCTCCTGGATGATTCATCTGCCATAAGGTTGTACACAGTGATTTTTCCAAATGTGTGTAGTACACAAGAACGATAGACCTCACTGCTCTTCTAAATAACTGAAGAAAAGTATTTAAAACTATATATATTAACTAGCATGAGAAGTTTTTGAACAGAAAAAGCAGCTGACCATAAAAATGGGTGTCTAAACAGAACAAAAATAAAATGAAGCAGTAACTCTAGAAAATAAATATGGATTAATAATTAATAATACAATTAATAAAATAAAAAGCACTAATCGGCACATATAATATATATACAAATAATGCACAAAAACTGCACATATATAAAAACTAATAATATAGAAAAATACCAAAAATGCAGGAAATGGAAATTAAAAAAAATAACGTATCGTGGAATAGTTTTGCCATTTAATTTTTATCCTGCTGTCCGCAAAGACTATGTAAATAAAATAATGGGAAATAGCAATCAATTTCTGCTGTAAGTGAATAAATATCTGGATGTGACATCTGGCATCAGGAAATAAAGTAATATAGAAAGTTAGAATGGTATACAGGGATACCTCAATAGGCCTCTGGAAATAATAATAAATACAAAAAAATGAATGTATTAAGGCAATTTGGCCTGGATTTGTGGGAGGTGCTTGGTATCCATCCTAGCCTACTTAAGGCACACCCCTTACCTTGCTCCTTACCGTTTGAGGTCAGCGTTGAATGAGGATCCACTTCCGGGTTCTCTCAGACGCCATCTTGGTTTTCAGTATCCACAAGGTTTTTTCCGCGGCAAGCTGTGTCCAGGAATCCTGTTTCAAGCCTTTTCCGTCTGTCCAGCTTCTTCTGACCCCGGTCATCATCGTAGATCGCGTCTCAGGGACTTAAACCGTAAGTTAGACCTACCTGTCATGCCAGGATCGGTTCCCACGGTGTACGGTACAGCACGGGTCTTCGCTTTACGGTTTTCTCCCTGTTATGTCACAAATTGAACGAGCCGCTCGCAGTTTTCATTTCGTACGGTCATTCGGCTAATCAGTATGTTAGTTAAAGTGGTCATTTCACATACAGGGGCGGACTGAGAGCCTTTGGGGCCCCCGGGCAAAATTAGATCCCAGGCCCTTTGAAGGCCAAATATATGTGCATTTTAATAAATGTTAAATATAATTCATAATACGGCATTCCTTTGGATGTGTTTATTGTGAAGACCCGTGTATCAATGCATGTTTGTATTTGAGTCTGTGTGAATGCACTTGTGCATGTCTGGATGACTACATGTGCTTTTTTGTATATAGTGTCTGTGTGAATGCATATGTGACAGGTGACAGAGTGTGTGAGGGAGAAGGTGACAGGTGGAAGAGTGTGGGAGGTTGTGACAGGTGGCAGAGTGAGGGGGTACCTGGTGGCAGAGTGAGGGAGGGAGGGGTTGAGTGGTGGCAGAGTGAGGGGGAGACACAGTGAGTGGGGGTGACTGGTGACAGAGTGAGGGAGTGGGTGACTAGTGACAGAGGGAAGGAGAGGGGGAGACTAGTGACAGAGTGAGGGAATGGGTGACTAGTGGCAGAGTGAGGGAGGGAAGAGATGACTAGTGGCAAAGTGAGGGAGGGAAGGGGTGACTAGTGACAGAGTGAGGGGGGGCTGACTGTCACTAGTCACCCCATCCCTCTCTCTGTCACTAGTCACTCCCTCCCTAACTCTGTCACTGTGTCACCCGCTCCCTCACTCTGTCACTAGTCACCCCCTTACTCTGTCACTCCCTCCCTCTGTCACTGTGTCACCCGCTCGCTCACTCTGTCACTAGTCACCCCCTTACTCTGTCACTGTGTCACCCCCTCCCTCTGTCACTAGTCACCCCCTCTCTCACTAGTCACCGCATCCTTCTCTCTGTCACTAGTCACCCCATCCCTCTCTCCGTCTCTAGTCACTCCCTCCCTAACTCTGTCATTGTGAAGGAAGGAAGGGGTGACTGGTGACAGAGTGAGGGAAGGGATGACTAGTGGCAGAGTGAGGGAAGGAAGGGATGACTAATGACAGAGTGAGAGAGGGTGTGACTAGTGACAGAGTGAGAGAGGGGGTGACTGTCACTAGTCACCCCATCCCTCTCTCTGTCACTAGTCACTCCCTCCCTAACTCTGTCACTGAGGACAGAGGGTGTGATTAGTGACAGAGTGAGGGAGAGGGTGACTAGTGACAGAGTGAGGGAGTAGGTGACACAGTGACAGAGTTAGGAGGGAGTGACTAGTGACAGAGGGATGGGGTGACTAGTGACAGTCACCCCCTCCCTCACTCTGTCACTAGTCACCCCCTTCCCTCTCTCTGTCACTCCCTCACTCTGTCACTAGAGTGAGGGGGTGACTAGTGACAGAGTGAGGGAAGGGATGACTAGTGGCAGAGTGAGGGAAGGAAGGGGTGACTAGTGACAGAGTGAGGGAGGTGGTGACTGTCACTAGTCACCACCTCCCTCACTGTCACTAGTCACCACCTCCCTCTGTCACTACTCCCTCCCTCCTTCTGTCACTACTCCCTCCTTCCTTCTGAGTGAGGGAGTCACACCCTCCCTCACTCTGTCACCAGTCATCCCTTCCCTCACTCTGTCACCAGTCATCCCCTTCCCTCACTCTGTCACCCCCTCACTCTGTCACTAGTCACCCCCTCACTCTAGTGACAGAGTGAGGGAGGGGGTGACTAGTGACAGAGTGAGAGAGAGGGTGACTAGTGACAGAGTGAGGAAGGGGGTAACACAGTGACAGAGTGAGGGAGGGGGTGACTAGTGACAGAGTGAAGGAGGTGGTGACTGTCACTAGTCACCCCCTCCCCTCCCTCACTCTGTCACTAGTCACCCCCTCCCTCTCTCTGTCACTAGTGACACCCTCCCTCTTTCTGTCACTAGTCACCCCCTCCCTCTCTCTGTCACTAGTGACACCCTCCCTCTCTCTGTCACTAGTCACCCCCTCCCTCTCTCTGTCACTAGTGACACCCTCCCTCACTCTGTCACTAGTCACACCCTTCCTAACTGTCACTAGCCACCCCCTCCCCTCCCTCACTCTGTCACTAGTCACCCCCTCCCTCTCTCTGTCACTAGTGACACCCTCCCTCTCTCTGTCACTAGTGACACCCTCCCTCAGTCACTAGTCCACCCTCCCTCACTCTGTCACTAGTCACACCCTTCCTAACTGTCACTAGTCACCCCCTCCCTCTCTCTGTCACTAGTCACACCCTCCCTCTCTCTGTCACTAGTCACCCCCTCCCTCACTCTGTCACTAGTTACTAGTCACCCCCTCTCTCACTCTGTCACTAAGGACAGAGGGGGTGATTAGTGACAGAGTGAGGGAGGGGGTGACTAGTGACAGAGTTAGGGAGGGAGTGACTAGTGACAGAGAGAGGGATGGGGTGACTAGTGACAGAGAGAAGGATGGGGTGACTAGTGAGAGAGGAGGTGACTAGTGACAGAGGGAGGGAGGGGGTGACACAGTGACAGAGTAAGGGGGTGACTAGTGACAGAGTGAGCGAGCGGGTGACACAGTGACAGAGGGAGGGAGGGAGTGACAGAGTAAGGGGGTGACTAGTGACAGAGTGAGGGAGCAGGTGACACAGTGACAGAGTTAGGAGGGAGTGATTAGTGACAGAGAGAGGGATGGGGTGACTAGTGACAGTCACCCCCTCCCACACTCTGTCACTAGTCACGCCCTCCCTCTCTCTGTCACTAGTCACCACCTTCCCTCTTTCTGTCACTCCCTCACTCTGTCACTAGTGTGAGGGGGTGACTAGTGACAGAGTGAGGGAAGGGGTGACTAGTGGCAGAGTGAGGGAGGGGGTGACTAGTGGCAGAATGAGGGAAGGAAGGGGTGACTAGTGACAGAGTGAGGGAGGTGGTGACTGTCACTAGTCACCACCTCCCTCACTCTGTCACTACTCCCTCCCTCCTTCTGTCACCAGTCATCCCCTCCCTCACTCTGTCACCAGTCATCCCCTTCCCTCACTCTGTCACCCCCTCACTCTAGTGACAGAGTGAGGAAGGGGGTGACACAGTGACAGAGTGAAGGAGGTGGTGACTGTCACTAGTCACCCCCTCCCCTCCTTCACTCTGTCACTATTCACCCCCTCCCTCTCTCTGTCACTAGTGACACCCTCCCTCACTCTGTCACTAGTCACCCCCTCCCTCTCTCTGTCACTAGTGACACCCTCCCTCACTCTGTCACTAGTGACACCCTCCCTCTCTCTGTCACTAGTCACACCCTTCCTAACTGTCACTAGTCACACCCTTCCTAACTGTCACTAGTCACCCCCTCCCTCTCTCTGTCACTAGTCACCCCCTCCCTCTCTCTGTCACTAGAGTGAGGGGGGTGACTGGTGACAGTGGGAGGGGGTGATTGGTGACAGTGGGGGGGTGACTGGTGACAGTGGGAGGGGGTGATTAGTGACAGTGGGGGGGTGACTAGTGACAGTGGAGGGGGGGTGACTAGTGACAGTGGAGGGGGGGTGACTAGTGACAGTGAGGGGGGGTGACTGGTGACAGTGGGAGGGGGTGACTGGTGACAGTGGGGGGGTGACTGGTGACAGTGGAGGGCTGACTAGTGACAGTGAGGGGGTGACTGGTGACAGTGGAGGTGGTGTGACTAGTGACAGTGAGGGGTGTGACTAGTGACAGTGAGGGGTGTGACTAGTGACAGTGAGGGGGTGACTAGTGACATTGGGGGGTGACTAGTGACATTGGGGGTGACTAGTGACAGTGGAGGGGTGACCTAGTGACAGTGGGGTGACTGTAGGTGACAGTGGAGGTGAGATTGTGACTAGTGACAGTGAGGGAGTTGTGACTAGTGTTGACAGTGAGGGGGGGTGACTAGTGACAGTGGAGGGTGACTAGTGACATTGGGGGTGACTGACAGTGGGGGTGACTAGTGACAGTGAGGGGGTGACTAGTGACAGTGAGGGGGGATGACTAGTGACAGTGGGGGGGTGACTAGTGACAGTGAGGGGGTGACAGAGTGGGGGGGTGACTAGTGACAGTGGGGGGTGACTAGTGACAGTGGGGGGGTGACTGGTGACAGTGAGGGGGGTGACTGGTGATAGTGAGGGGGGGGGAAGGGGGTGGTTGGTGCCTACCTGCATCTCTGCTCCCTCTTCTCTCCCCGCCTGCTGCTCCTTCTCCATGCTGGGCTCTGTGTGAGAGGAGTAAACAGGAAGTGATGTCACTTCCTGGCCCCGCCTCTCCCATCACACAGAGCCGCATGGGAGAGGAAGCCGGAGACCTGGCAGAGAGGAGGTGAAGCTGCCAGGTCTCATGGGGGGGTGTGACTAGCAGAGTGGTAGGTTGTGGGGGGCCCCGCGCTGCATCAGGGGCCCCACAACCTATCGATTAAATAGTTTTATTATTTTTTGCTGTTCCAGTTGGAGAGATCTCTGATCTCTCCAGCTGGAACATGGCTGTGCGGCCGGGCCCCTGACTGCCTCGGGCCCTCGGTCCATGACCGATATGCCCGAGTGGTCAGTCCGCCCCTGTTCACATATAACTATTCCGTGTTACAGTGAAACAAGTTATCATTTCGGTTGTTTTGCCGTTCAGCATTTTTTCATGATACGCTTAAACACGCTTGCTGTTTGCATAAAATTCATGCGTTTAAACTATTCGTTCCAGCTTCTGTTTTCCCTCACATTGAGTTTCGGTTTTATTTCTATGTATTACGCATAAATCCTTTCGTGGATTACATTCACCATTTCATGTATATACCATTCAGGTAACGAATTGCTTGGTTAAATAGACAGATTATTTCCATTACTGTTTAAAGGTATAAGTATTGTATTAATGTCCATACAAAACCAGGCTCACTTATCTGTATGGATCATTTTGACTCCCATGCTTTCAGGTGTCTGCCATACTTATCCATTTCATTCAAGTGGACTCAGCCTACATTACATGCCTCATTTCTGTGTTATAAACTACGACACACATAAGGATACAGTTTCCTTTTCCAAGCAATAAATTCTCGGGTTGAATCACATACTGATACAACCAATCATACGTCTTTTTCATTACAGATATATTATATATATAACTTTACATCACTTTAAAGCATTTTGTGTATCCTTGCCCCTTTTTTGTTATTCTATTACATATCAACATAACGCTGTTTAAATATAGGCCACGGCCTCCCTCTTTTTCTACTTGACAGCATCATACATTCCCCACTGTTTTATACAGAACTGTGCATTAAAGACACGGCATCACTTTGCCTTGGTAACACATTTATACTCTCATGGTATATCACTACACTTCATTTACCAAGGAATACGCCAATCAAGCCTTAAAAAGTATCACTGGTACGGGCCACACAGTCTACTTAATTCCCACAAAGTCCACACTCACTATACTACTCTCTTTTACCCGTTTTCAGGCTGTCCAGGTTTAAATAGATATTTCACCACACGGCTTCCTGTGAGATATTCATACTACCAGGTATGTACACCTGCTCATATGGTATTCTGCCATACATTTCATTTCTCCCCCCTAGGTTAGAGTACTGACAATAGGGTCATAGGCTTCCCAATAGGTATTTACCCCTTTTTGGCAATTGCCATCAGTTAGTGGTCCCGCGAGGCCAACACCCCGCCTCAACGTTTCAGAGGAAAACACCCATCGGGCCACACGTTAGCTAGCCGCCTCACATGTTGCATAGAGAGGGCCTCACCTGTCACTTCCTTTCACTGTTTTTCTGTGTTGCAGTCACCGAGAGGCCTAAAATTACTGCCACTATGATGGGTGGCCTCAAATCTCCTCGCGCCAATGCATAGATAGAGCCTCTCAAGCCACTTGGCAACTAGTAGGGCCTCACCTGTCACCAAACAAGTGTAATGTTTCGCCATCTGGCTTAGCTAGCCTGCCAGTATGATTTTGGTGGTTTTCATACACTAATTAATTGTTTTGGTTATAGTATGTCTCAGGAAGGGGAAGAGGATTTCTCCCTGCCTAGCACTCCAGCTAGAGCTATCACTCCTACACAAGGAGGAGAGGTAAATAGTCCAGCATCAATCAGATCCTGGACGATCCCTCGTATAACTACGGAATTGAGGAGACGGCAAATCCCCTACCCTGCTACAGCAAGGAAAGCAGAACTTTTCAAACTGTTACGTGCCTCAACTAACAACATGGATCCCAGGGAAGGACCTAGCCAGTCCAACCCAGGAGACATACATTCCATGTTATCTTCACTCATGGCGTCCATGAGCAGGGTCAACTCCAGAAACTTGAGTGGGTCACCACGGCCCTTACTCTAGCAGGGCCACCCGCTGCTGCTTCACAAGCACCAGCCGACTTGCTATTGGTTCCTCCAGCCATCACCCCAGATGACCAGGAAGTTAGCCCTGCTCATATGATCCCTGAGCACATAAACAGAGATATCCTGGAAGGTAAAGACGTCAGCCTAGCTTCCCTGCTGATTGCCTCCCAGGATATTGTGGAAAATAAGACTTATGCTTATGATGATGTGTCTGTTGTTGTCAGATCTAGGGACGCCCACCTAAACAGGAAGCTGACTATCCCTGAGTTCGTACTGGCCTTTGGTATTTACTGGGATGTCATCTGTGCGGTCTATCCCAAGAGAAGAGAGGAGTTTGATCTTTATATGCACAAGCTGGTAGATCTGGGCAACAAATATGGTGGTTCAGCCTTTTATGACTACCATAGGTCGTTTTCTGCAAAAGTGTCTGGAGCCTTCTCCAAGTATGGAACAAGATCCAACTGGGGAAGGATTGATACCGTCATATTTTGCAGACACTTTGCAGGTCTAAGAACACCGGCTTGTGCATACTGCTCCTCTACAGCCTATACGACAAATTTCTGTCCCAATACGGCTGACGAACATGC